TTGCATACTGGTAGAATAACTGTGAAAATTTTATAAATAATTTAGAAAGAAAAATATAAATAGTAAACTCTAAAAGTCTATTTATTTTTCTTACTCTTGCCTTTCTGTTACAGCAGAGTGACTGAGCTCTTCATTATATAAAATGTCTTATTGAAACACAGCCAACAAATGTTATTATGGTGAAAATGCGTTGACTTTATCAGCACCAGAAAATCCTTCATGAACCTTGGTTTAGGCTGATAGTCCTTGCTTGCTGCTTTCATATCACTTTTTATTTTTTCTTGAACTAATCGATATACTTGGTTATCATCCATGTAAGACTACAGGCTTCTCAGTGCAAAGGCTGAATCATGTTCAATTTTTTGTTTTTTTAAAGAAAAGCACCTGTTGCCCTAACCTGCTTGGCTCAGTGGATAGAGGGTTGGCCCTTGGACTGAAGGGTCCCGGGTTTGATTCCCGTCAAGGGCGCACACCTCAGTTTCAGGCTTGATCCCTGGCCCTGTTTGGGGGACATGGGGGAGACAACCAATCAGTGTGTCTCTCTCATATCAATGTTTCTTTTTTTCCGTCTCTCCCCTTCCTTTCCACTCTCTCTAAAAAATCAATGGGAAAATATTCCCAGGTGAGGATTAACAAAAAAAAAAGAAAAATAGAAAAAGAAAGGCACTAGTTACTACAGTGGCTGGAACCGAATAGTTGTCTATAAATATTTGTTGAAACAAACTATTCATTTAATAATATGTAACACATCCTAGGAATGGGATATAGTTTTAGAAAACTGAAATTGATCTCCCTCCTATTTTCTTTTTGTTTTGACTCCTTTCCATCCTTATTGACACATAGATCAAAGGCTGGACGTTTAGAGTCCTGAATACATTAGATGATTAGATTGGGATGGTGGGACCCTGAAAATAAATGACTAATTATGTGGATAACCATATAAAATTAGATATCAGTTATTAATTCTTCCTCTATGCTAGTCACTATTCTTGGGTCCTTTAGTTATTCTCCTCCATTTAATCAATATATAGAAGTACTGGTTACCATCAAGTAATATTTTTTCTACTTTATTCAATGCACTACATGCGCCTACTGTGAAAGAGTTCAGAGATGTGCAAGGCTTGGGGCCTGACTGCAGCTAATTCAATGCTGGGAGCAAGCTGGACATCCTCTCATTCTGTCTCTAGGGAGTGCCTTGTATGTGTGTGGGACTTTTCTAGACAGTGGTTCTATAACAATGAACAAAGAAAACCAAACCAAAACAAAAAAACCCTGACCTCATGATACTTGTATTCTAATGGAGGAGGAAAATAACTAAAGATGTAAAACATAGACTGTATTAGATAGTGGTTAATACTAAAGGGGGGATTAAAGCAAAGGGTGAGGGTGTGCATGCTGTTAGTGTATATCTGTGAGGGGGCAGGATTGGAAAACTGGATCAGGTAGCTACGAAGGCTTTGCTGAGAATGACGTTTCAGTAATGACGATAAACCAAGGCATGTGGAGTGCGTCCCTCTCCTGAGCAGCTGGGAATAGTGACTAATTCTTGTCATATACTTTTGCAATGTGCTCAGATGGAGTTTTAGAATTTCTCTTATTATATCACTAGGAGATACACTACCGATGGGTATGATTTAGTTACCTGAGGGAAGCACCTCACCGTAACTGCTTTTGTAATAGACCTTCTGGAATATATTAGGAAAAACTTTATATAATCATAATATACCCCTACAATGTGGAATTTGAATCAAAAGTCACTCTCAAAATATTTAAATGTGTTCTCTATATCATTTGAGCCTTACCTTCCACCTTTATCCATCACACATGTTCCCAGTGTGCAGGCACATGGGTACTCGTCATGCTGCATCCCAAGGTTATGCCCCAGCTGATGGGCCATTCGGCTTGCAATCACATTAAGGTCAGGTAAAAGGTCCTGATGCCAAAAGGAGATGTCATTAGACATTTCTACAAGACAGCACACTATGGGAAATAGTGCTTTGAACTAATGGTTGAAACCTGTTTTCTAGCTTCTGGTTAACTGATACTTATTTGAGAGGCCATGGACTTACCTCCCTCTTCTGCCCTTCAGTTTCTTTAGTTTATAATGAGGTTGAACAAATGATGTTTTGAGTGGCTCTAAATCTACCATTTTGAAATTCTTTTTTTGTGGTATAATAATGGTCATTCTTGGAGTTATACAGACACATTCTTACAAATAGCTAAAAATTATTAGCTAATGCTTTACCCAATTAAATAAACATTACTACCATCCATATACCAGATAATCAAAAGGGATAAAAATAAAAATATGTGTGGTTCATGTTTTCAATGTGCAATCTCACATTGCACAAAACTGTTATGCAATCATGAGAATAGAGTTTCTACTTGCAGAAAACCAGAAGGGTCAGTGCTGCAAAATCCAACACAAAATTGGTTGTTGCCTGTTTGTAGTTCTATTTAACATTTTAATCTTCATATTATTTTCAAAAATATGAATTTCCAAAGGGGATGGAATATCAGGTTACTGTAAAAGTAAAATACCACTAATTTGGTAATTTCATCTTGCTCATTTAAGTTTAAAATATGCTCCAGGTTACAATATCATAATTTAAGTGGTGACTGCCTATTAATGATTAGGTTGACTCTTTATGCAACATTTATGTTATTAAAATTCAATGATTCCATGGGCAAACATGTAATCATACAAAGAATCATACAATAAGTAGTTCATGAATTCATTTTAATAAGTTCTAGCTTTTAATTTCAACATCATAGCAAGACTGGGTTGAGCATTGAAATCATAAGGTAGGCACTTTTTTTTTAAAGTAATCCAAGCCTTCATGTTTTCAAATATTTCTTTAATACGGTTACTTGGACAGTACTTGCTAGAAGCTCAGTGACTTGGGAAAGGATCAGATAAACAAGGATCAGAGTCAGCAGTGTGAAGGCCTTATGCTTTTGGAAAAGAAATTGCAAGTCTGCCTTGATATTTTATATGACCTATGCAATTTCTTTTCAGCACAAGAACAATTATTCTCACTTGCTAAATCAGTCGAATTTAATGGACTTTACACGTCCTGTACACAACTCTATTTAATATGCAAAAGAACTTTTTAAATATTTGCATGTTAATTTGTATATAGTGTTATCTTAAACTATGAACACTGCTTTACCTTTATTATTCATCTATAGTATTTTTTTTATAAAACATTTCCTTTCTCATTAAATAAAAGCAACATGGAAGTTTGATCATGACATATGTTGGTGGGGATATATGAAGGAATGCATACCTGGTCCCTTTCACTAGGACACAGAATATTACAGAAGTTTAATTCAAACTTTTTATTCAGTAGTATAACATAAATAAACACAGCCCACCTTGACGACACTGCAGGAATAATAGGGCAGGCACATACCCCCTGGATAAGAAATTCCTTGTGCATGGGTATAAAGCCACTTCCCACTATAAACAAAATGAAAATACACTCTTCAATATGAGATAGCACTTTAATTAATACATGCACTGAACCACAGTGAACTCCCACAATGCTAGTGCCTTTGCACATGAAAGTGTCTTTTCTTTTTCCTGGAGTTAAGGATGACTTCAGTTGACATTAAGCTCATTTTAAAACTGTGGCATATTAGATGCATTGAAAAGTCAATGCAATATTTAGTTGAAATCATATGAAAGTACTTTCTTAAAAATAACAATAGTAGAGTCCCATTTTACTTGACTTCAGTTTGCCCTGCATCCAGCTCTGGATAAAATAACTTAAAACAAATTAAAATGTTTAGAGCCTGGCCAGTGTGGCTCAGTGGTTGAGCATCACAGTTTGATGCCTGGTCAGGGCATATGCCCAGGGTGCAGGCTCAATCCCAGTGGAGTGTGCAGGAGGCAACCAATCAATGATTCTTTCTCATCATTGATGTTTCTATCTTTCTCTTCCTCCCTGAAATCAATAAAAATCTATATTTTAAAAAAGGTTCTGAAGTGTTGAACACAGTAAGTTCTGATTAATATTATTTTTATCAATAATCTCTTTTCTAATATTTTAAAAGCTGGGGGGGGGTCAAGCTGGATGACAGAGATGCTCCATTTTAATCTGTGCCATGACATCCCCTCAAATGGAGGAGCTGGCGAGGGGCACTCAAGCCCAATGGCTTCCCCTCAAGAATTCAGCCACATCTTCAGCCATTACTCCAGGGAGCGCTGTTGGCATCCCAAGGCAGGATAGCTCTACATATTTGATCCCTCTCCTCCCTTCCCCTAGCTGAAATCAATAAAAATATATATAACATATACATATGTATGTATAATATGTGTGTGTGTGTGTGTGTGTGTGTGTATGTGTGCTTATATATGTATGAGAGACCAAGACCAAGTGCACGAAATTTGAGCACTCATTGGGGAGGTTCCCTCAGCCCAGCCTGTGCCCTCTCGCTGTCCAGGAGCACTCGGGAGATGTCCGACTGAAGGCTGTCAGTCGGACATCCTTAGTGCTGCCACGGAAGCAGGAGAGGCTCCTGCCACCAGTGCTGCGCTCATCAGCCATGAACCTGGCTTCTGGCTGAGCAGCGATTTTACTGTGGGAGTGCGCTGACCACCGGGGGCAGCCCCTTCATTGAGCATCTTCCCCTTGGTGGTCAGTGTGCATCATAGCAACTGGTCGCTCTGCCATAGGGCTGGAACTGGCTCTCTGACATCCCCTGACGGGTCCCGGATTGTCAGAGGGGTCAGGCCAGGCTGAGGGACCCCACCGGTGCAAGATCGGGGCTGGGAAAGGATGTGGGAGGTTGGCCAGCTGGGGAGGGACTGTGGGATGGCTCCAGGGCATGTCTGGCCCATCTCGCTCAGTCCCAATCAGCTGGACCCCACCAGCAAGCTAACCTACCAGTGGAGTATCTGCCCCCTGGTGGTCAGTGCATGTCATAGTGACTGGTAGAACAGTAGACTGTCTGCCCCCTGGTGATCAGTGCATATCATAGTGAGTGGCATATCGTTAGCATATTATGCTTTGATTGGTTGAATGGACAACCAGAAGACCAGACACTAAGCATATTAAGCTTTTATTATATAGG